AACCTAAGACAGATCAGTAGGGAAAAATATATATAAGTTTCATGTGGCATGGGAACCTTCATAAGGAAATGAATATCTAAAGACAGTTGAAGACTTATATACTGAATTATCAAAGAATAGAAAGTGTGCTGGGGGGCTGGGTAGTGTGCTCACCTGGCATGCATGCGGCCCGGGTTCGATCCTCAGCACCACATACAAAGATGTTGTGTCTGCCGAGAACTAAAAAATAAATATTAAAAAATTCTCTCTCTCTCTCTCTCTCTCTCTCTTAAAAAAAAAAGAAAAAGAAAAAAAAGAAAGTGTGCTGGGCATGGTGGCTTATGTCTATAATCCCAGCAGCTCAGGAGGCTGAGGCAGGAGGATCACGAGTTCAAAGCCAGCCTCAACAACATAGTGAGGCCCTAAGCAATTCAGCAAGACCCTGTCGCTAAATAAAATACAAAAAGAGGGCTGAAGATGTGGCTTAGTGGTTAAGTGCCCCTGAGTTCAATTCCCAGTACCACAAAAAGAAAAAAAAAAATAGTAAGTGTGACAAAGCAACTAAATTACATGGGAGGGCTGAAGATAAAGAGTTATTTTAACAAGGCCTTTACATAATTCTCTCTGGCACAACTTCCTGTCCTTGAATATAAGAATGTTGTTTCCCTTGGACTAGTTATAGGAATTTCATCTTCTGCTTTTCAGAAACAGAAGGAAGGTCAAAGTGATCTTCTTGCACCTGCTGTTTATTTTTCTAAGTTAATTAACTCAAGTTGATTCTTATGTCAAAGTGGTAAGTTTGGGGGGTGGTATATTCTAAATACCATCAGATGCATACCATGGGGGAAGAACTCTCTATGTAGATTATTAAATGCAGTTGTCCCAGTAGAGTGGGTGTTGAGGCTGTGGACACAGCTAAAGGCTGTAAAGTTTCCTTTTTGGCAAAGGATACAGATACTTACTGAGAGAGTTTATTATGTGAGACAGAATACAGACAATAAGCTTCCAAACAAGGTCCCCCAAAGTTCCTTATTGGAATTATACCATCAGAGTGGATCAAGTTATGGAGTTTCAAACCATCCTGGTTTGCCTGGGACTAAGGAGTTTTCTCAGGATTTTTAATGTTATAACCAAGAAAAATCAGGCAAAATGAGGCAGTTGGCTAATCTAACTGAGAAGTGTACTTTTCTATTCTTGGATCCTTTCCTGACCTTATTGCCCACCTGATCATAGAGGAGATACAGGCAACACATCTGTCTGCCCATCAGGAGCACATGAAAACAATCTAATACATTTCTGTTATCATGAGATGGTAGAAAGTGAAGGCCAGTTTTCAATTTCTCAGGAACATCCTTTAGTAGGCCTGGACTTCAGGCAGTCTGAGATCCACTCCTGAATTAATAATCATCTCAAGAATAGTCATATGCAAAAAATATAGATCCTATTTAGTAAGATTCAGATATTAACTTTTGATTCTGCCACATTGAGGAATTATTGTATCCCTTGGCCAGTAGTAAATGAGGGCCATCCTTTGATTCTTGACAGCCCATTCTTCTCTTGCTGAGTGGTGGTTTACTCTGAAATGGTCACTTCCCAATAGAATTGTTTTATAGAAATTGTACAGTCTGAGGCCTTCAAACTGAAATGGCTCCACATTTAATTTTTTAAAAATATTTTTTAGTTGTTGATGGATTTTTATTTTATACATATTTATATGCGGTGCTGAGAATCAAACCCAGGGCCTCCCACATATGAGGCAAGCACTCTACCACTAGGGCACAACCCTAATCCTTAATTTTTTTTTGGTACCCCCAGCCCAATAATTGTTTCTTAAAAGTTACTTCTCTGAAACCGGTAAGCTAATTTTCTCCCCAGAGGCTATGTGAACACACCATTTCTTCAGTGATAGATAGTAGATATATTCTGTATACTTGAATATTCTGTACTCTTTGTTTGCGGACTCCTTGTAAACTACTAAGGATTTCAAGAAGTTTGGACATTAATATCTAAAATAGTTTCCACCATAGTTTTCTTCGTATTACCCTTGGAGGCGGGGTGACTGGCGGTTGAACACAGGGGCACTTTACCACTGAGCTACATCCCCAGTCCTTTTTATTTTTTATTTTGAGACAGGTTTCTAAGATGTTGAGGCTGGCCTTGAACTTGGAATCTCCCTGCTTCTGCCTCCTGAGTTGCTGGGATTACAGGCATTCACCACCATGCATAGCTTTCTATTACTCTTCTTATATCACCTATTTCATCAATTCTTCAGTATATCTACAATTAAATAAACATGATCTCAATGGCCCAGACCATAAACTCTTAATAGTAGCTACCAATCTATTAAATGTGACATTTACCATGTTCTCAATATTAAGTCAGAAAGGAAAAACCCAGAAATCATTACATTGGGAGCTAGTACATAACCATAAATTGTCTAAGTATAGTTCAAATGTTTAAGAGTTCTGTGATACATTCCTACCCCTTTCTATTTTTTTTTTTATATTGAGACAGGGTTTCATTGAATTAGTGAGGTTGGCCTTGAACTTGTAATCTTTCTGTCTCAGCTTCCTAATTTGCTGGATTACAGGCCACCACACACAGCAGTAGTTAATTATATTCTTAAGTTAAGCCAAGCATCTATTTTGATTCATTACTTGAGAGAGTATAAAAGTACAAAGGCTACCACATATTTTCACTTTTTTCCTGTTTTGACAAGACACTGTAATGGTTCTATTTGGAATTTGATTGGAATTTGATTTGTGGTTGATGTTGGCAACTGGTATAGTATTTATGTCATACAGCCCACCCTTATAGAACAATTAGAATGTGTTTACTCATAAAACACATAGGTTATAAATCCAGAGAAAGGCTTAAGCTAATTCTTGATTCAACAGCATCCCCACGGCCAAGAAACTCAAATAGCTTTGAAGTTTTTTTTCCCCAAATGCTAAATATAAAACAGGGTAATTGTTCTCATGAACTAGTATCTACTTTTTTAAGCATTAAAGGAATGAGCCACAATATTGACAGAAAATGCCATTATTCCAACAATTATACCATATGAGTAATTTAGAAAAATACCTACTATTCAAGCAAAAGGTAATGAAGGTCAAACAACAGGAACTAAGGATATTGAACCAATAAAGGACCAATTACCCAGATCACCTCGTTCAATGGTTCTCAAACTTCAGCATGCATCAGAATCACCTATGGGGCTTGTTAAAACACAGATTACTGGACTCTAACCCTAGAGTTTCTGATGCAGTAAGTCTGAGATGAAGCTCAAAATTTTGCATTTCTAACAAGTTCTCAGGTAATGCTGATGCTGTTCCCTACATAAGTTATTTTTCCATGTTTGCCTCCCTTTGTTCCACCAAATATAAAAACACAAAGATTTTGCCACTTCTTTGAGACATCATTTCTTTTTAAAAAATTTTTTTGTAGTTGTAGATGAACAGCATGCTTTACTTATTCATTTATTTATTTAGTAGTTGTAGACGGACAGAATGCCTTTATTTTATTTGTTTATTTTTATGTGGTGCTAAGGATCAAACCCAATGCCTCACACATGCTAGGCAAGCACTCTGCCACTGAGCTACAGCCCTAGGTCATCATTTCTTTATAAGGGCTCTGTAAAACTTGTGTTACACATTTGGACTTGTCTCCTGTTTGTCTTATGTCAATTTAGTTCTCAGGCCTTTCTAAGATCTTAAAAGGGTCAAGATAAAGTTTTGCTTCCTCTGGTAAGTCCAGCCCCACTCAGAGATCAACTGACTAAATCCTAGTCCTCAATTTCCAGAGAAGAAGATCTGAATGGCATTCCTTATGTTAAGTGTCCTCTCCTGATCCAATCATTTATGTCTACCAAAGTAGGGTTGTGCAGTATAAATATGTCTACCTCTGTCTTTGGGGCAGTGAAGAAACTCACTGACTGGGCTAACACTTCAAGAAGCATCTGCTCAGAGATTTTGCCAGCGCTTGATCATTTCTTTCTATCCAGCATACTTTCTAGCTCTCATGAAGAGAAGTGGATCAAGAATATAACATTCCTGACCTATCAAACTGGCAAAAATGCAGGCAGCAACACACAGATGGTGAGGCTGATGTGGGACTGCAAAAGGGCACAAGTTTTTTGTCAAACCCACAAAAAATACAGATATATTTAACATCTAAGCTAGAGATCTCACTTCTTGGGGAATTGCTATTCAACAAGGGAAGAGAAATGGCCTAAGAACATAGATATTTTTAGTTTCTACACTTAAAAAAATCATAGACAAAGAATACCCTATAATATCAAAAGATAAAAAACTACTCAGAATCCCCATACTTTACAATAATTAAACATAGCCAGCTTTGGGACTCACATGCTCTTTCGTGCCATATGCCAATAGAAAAGCTCCATTCAATTTTGGAACTTTTCATCCACAGGCAACATTTTAGGATTGCTTCTATTTCTGACTGTGAAGAAAGTCTGCCTTATATAATGCCAATGTGACCCAAAGTGAATTTGCTCCAAAAATATCTAGTCCCACTGGTGTATGGTGTTGGGGACCACATTGGTCCCTCTGCAGCACAACATGTACAGTGGCACATGAAAATACTTTTTAAGTACTGAATATGGTAGTGTTCATCTATAATGATCTCAGTGACTCAGGAGGCTGAGGCAGGAGGATCACAAGCTCGAGGCCAGCCTTGGCAACTTAGCAAGACCCTCTCTCAAATTTTTAAAATTTAAAATTAAAAAAAAATAATAATGGCTGGAGATGTAGCATGGTTGTAGAGTACCCCAGGTTCTATCCCCAGTTTAACCAAACCAAACCAAACCAAACAAAAAACACCTTTAAGTGATAAGAAATGATATAGGAAAAAAAACAAAAAAAAAAATGATATGGGAACATTTTTGCAGCAAATTTTGTAGTTCATATACATGAACCAAACCCCTTGGAAAATCCAAATAAAGGACATGGTTTTAAGTCATCATTTATCCTCTCTCTCTCTCTCTTTTTCCCCCCCTGCAGTACATCTCTTCACATATTGCAGACCTTAAAAGTGAAATTTTTGAGGAACTTCTGAAGCACCTTTGCCACTGTGCAGATGATTTCCGGGAGGTCGTAAAAGCTGACTTACAGAGACAGATGTTTGCTGACCTCTTTCTATATTGTGACTCTGGGAAGGTAGGTTAAGGCCTTTAAACCATTGCTTCTCACAGTATTGGTTATGAAGGACCAGTTTTTTACATCTTTGTAGTTAATGATGTTTTAAATTTTCAATTGTATATCAACATGTAATCAATGAAAATGGATTACCGGGGGGAGGGACACACAAAATACAATCCTCATTTTTATTATCTGATTCAAATCTGATTTATTATCAGTTACTTTCTCAAATCACTGTAAAAATTTCTAGATATTGTTCTCAATTTTTGTATCTGGCACCAACATGCAAACCATAGCTAGAGTGGAACTACAGTTTCAGGATTTATCATTTGTTTCTAAATGTATCTCTTGCCCATTCCTAAATCACCAGATGATTAAAATTGTTTTTGCTTTTGCTCTTTGTTGGTAACTTCCTATATAAAAGGGCTGCTAGAAAGCCTACCACTTTATTTTACTGTTCTTAAAAACAGAAGAATTTGTATCAAAAAGTGTTTCTATTGTGAATTGTGCTGCAGTAAACATTGATGTGACTGTGTCTCTGTAGTATGCTGTTTTTAAGTCCTTTAGGTATAAACCAAGCAGTGGGATAGCTGGGTCAAAAGGTGGTTCCATTCCCAGTTTTCCAAGGAATCTCCATACTGTTTTCCTTATTGGCTGCACCCTTTTGCAGACCCACCAGCAATGTGTGGTTGTGCGTTTCTCCCCACATCCTCACCAACACTTATTGTAGTTTGCATTCTTAATAGCTGCCATTCTGACTGGAGTGAGATAAAATCTTTAGTTTTGATTTGTATTTCTCTAATTGCTAGAGATGTTGAACATTTTTCCATATATTTGTTAATTGATTGTATATCACCTTCTGAGAAGTGTCTGTTCAGTTCCTTGGCCCATTTATCGATTGGGTTATTTGTTTTTTTGGTGTTTAGCTTTTTGAGTTCTTTATATATCTAGAGATTGGTGCTCTATCTGATGTACAAGTGGTAAAAATTTGCTCCCAAGCTTAGGCTCTCTATTCACCTTACTGAATGTTTCTTTTGCTGAGAAGAAGCTTTGTAGGTTGAATCCATCCCATTTATTAATTCTTGATTTTAATTCTTGCACTATAGGAGTCTTATTAAAATTGGGGGGCTGGGGTTGTGGCTCAGTGGTAGCGTGCTTGCCCAGCATGCGTGAGGCACTGGGTTCCATCCTCAGAATCACATAAAAATAAAGACAATAAAGTCCATCAACAACTAAAAAAAAAATTAAAAAAAAAAGAAAGTTGGGGCTTAATCTGATATGATGGAGATTTGGGCCTACTTTTTCTTCTATTAGGCGCAGGGTTTCTGGTTTAATTCCTAGGTCCTTGGTCCACTTTTGAGTTGAGTTTTGTGCATGGTGAGAGGTAGAAGTTTAATTTCATTTTGTCACATATGGATTTCCAGTTTTCCCAGCACCATTTTGTTGAAGAGGCTATCTTTTTTCCAATGTAAGTTTTTGGCGCCTTTGTCTAATATAAGATAACTGTAATTATGTGGATTAGTCTTTGTGTCCTCTATTCTGTACCATTGGTCTACCCATCTGTTTTGGTGCCAATACCATGCTATTTTTGTTAGATTGCTGTGTAGTATAGCTTACGTTCTGGTACAGTGATGCCACCTGCTTCACTCTTCTTGCTAAGGATTGCTTTAGCTATTCTGGGTCTCTTATTTTTCCAGATTAATTTCATGACCGCTTTTTCTATTTCTATGAGGAATGTCTTTGGGATTTTGACTGGAATTGCATTAAATCTGTATAATACTATTGGTAGTATGGTTATTTTGACAATGTTAATTCTGCCTATCCAAGAACAAGGGAGTTCTTTCCATCTTCTAAGGTCTTCTTTAATTTTTTTTTTTAGCATTTTGTAGTTTTTGTTGTAGAGGTCTTTCACCTCTTTTGTTCGGTTGATTCCCAAGTATTTTTGTTTTTGTTTTTTGTTTTTTGTGTTTTGTTGTTTTCTTTGAGGCTATTGTAAATTGGGTAGTTTTCCTGTGGAACCAACCTAGATGCCCTTCAGTCATGAATGGATAAAGAAAATGTGGTATATATACACAATGGAATATTACTCAGCAATAAAAGAGAATAAAATCATAGCATTTGAAGGAAAATGGATGGAGTTGGAGAATATAATGCTAAGCGAAGTTAGCCAATCCCAAAAAACCAAATGCCGAATGTTTTCTCTGATATAAGGAGGCTGATTCATAGTGGGGTTGGGAGGGGAAGCATGGGAGGGTTAGACGGACTCTAGACAGAGCAAAGGGATGGGAGGGGAAGAGAAAGGGCATGGGGGTAGAAAAGACATGGAATGAGGTGGACATCATTACAATAAGTACATATATGAAGACATGAATGGTGTGAATATATTTTGTATACAACCATAGATATGAAAAATTGTGCTGTATATGTGTAATATGAATTATAATGCAGTCTGCTGTCATAGATAACAAATTAGGATAAAAAAGTGTTTCTAAGAATGAGTTTGGGAGGACATCTGTATGACAGAAGACCAAATGGACTTGCAAAATGAGATGAAAATTTTGCTGAAATGTGTCTAAAATTATTCATATTCCCATATTCCTGAAAGGATTTAAGGAAGCACACAGTAGTAGAAAAAAATTCATGAGATGGTGGAAGAGAGAGGATACTAAATGAAGCTGTATTTAGCCATAAAGACCTACAATTTGTTGTGGGTTGTCTATAAGTTTGAATCTAAGCTTCCTGGACAGTAAATGTGAAAAAGGAAACATGACTAAACATACTATCAACAACATTTGTAGTATGAATACCAACTGGTGCTAAGAAGTAGTAAAGAAATTTGGGGATCAAAATTTGGGAGTTTCTCCTCATGGTAGTAATTAAAGGGACCTATATGATAAAGTGAATATCTTTTCTGATCAATTTGCAATAAATGAATCAATGACATCTTAGGGTAGTTTCTTATAACCACCTTAAGTATAGGAAAGTGACCGCAATTCAGAAAAAGCAATTCTTTTTTGTTTTTATTTTTTTAGTTGTAGATGGACACAATACCTTTATTTTATTTATTTTTATGTGATGTTGAGGATCAAACCCAGTGCCTCACACATGCTGGGCAAGCACTTTACCACTGATCCACAACCCCAGACCCCCAAAAAGCAATTCTTAAAGAAACCAATATATTGCAGTATAGGTGCTCAGATCCCTGCTTAAGTCAGGAATGTATTCTATAAAATCTGAAATGTTTATATGCCTTTCAGGTAATTTCCTTGAACATTGCTTCTTTTTTTTTCTTGGTGGGGAACAGTGTACTGGGATTGAGCTCAAGGACACTTGACCACTGAGCCACATCCCCAGCCCTATTTTGTATTTTGTTTGGAGACAGGATCTCACTGAGTTGCTTAACCCCTCACTTTTGCTGAGGCTGGCTTTGAATTCATGATCCCTCTGCCTCAATCTTCAGAGCTGCTAGGATCACAGACATGGGCCACCACACCTGGCTACATTACTTCTTTAACAGAGCTTGTAATAAATATTGTGTAACATGATGTCAAGATTTTATTTCCTGATAAAATGCCTGGAGGACAACTGCTCTCCGCTGTCCAATTTAACACCAACTCAAGTGCCATAACAAACATAGTGAATTAAAAACAAATAGAATTAATGAAAGTTTGATTGTGCTCCTTGCCTTTCTGTCCATCATTCAAACACTACTTCTGTGATGATCTTGGAGGGAAGGTAGAGAGAGTCCAGAATAAAGCCATTAGTTGAGTTTCTGAATGGATTTTTTAAAACTTTTAGTTGTAGATGAACACAATACCTTTATTTTATTTATTTATGTGGTGCTGAAGATTGAACTCAGTGCTCCCCACATGCAAAGCAAGTGCTCTCCACTGAAGCACAACCCCAGCCCAAATGGATGTTTTTAACTAGTGGCTGAAACAAGAGTTTGGAAAACCTGAGCTTTAAATTGCAAATGCTGGGCTGTTAAGAAAGAAAAACAATCATGGAGTAAAGAATGCAAAATATGATACCAAAATAGTTTTTCTCTTACTGAGAGAAGGAGAACAATTAAACATAGTCCTAGAACACACATGTTCTTATATGTCACATACCAATACATGTAATACATAAAAATAATCCAATGAATAAAAATAACTTCTACAACATAATGAAGTAAACTAATTAAAATATCATGGACATATTAGAAAAGAAGATATTTTATAACTAATAACTGCATGAAAATATGTTCAGTAAAATTATTCATCAGAGAAATGTAAATTAAATCCATAATGTGATACAAATTAAACTATCTAGAAACACAGTGTTGGTAAAGATGTAGAATAGTTCTTTTAGATTACTTGTAGGAAGGATGCAACTGTTTTGAAAAGAGTTTGGCAGTTTCTTTTTCTTTATTTTCCCTTCTTTACTTTTTACATTAATTCTTTCCTACCTGGTGATTGAACCCAGGCCCCCAAGCATGCTAAGCAGATGTTCTACCACTGAGCTACATCCCCAGCCCAAGGTAGTTTCTTTAAAAGTAAACATATCCTTTTCATTTGTCTCAGCAACAGCAATTTCACTCCTAGATAAACCTAGAAAAAATGAAATGAGAGAAGTTAAAACATATTATACTAAAAGACTTGTACATGAATATTCTTAGCAGCTTTATTCATAATAGCTCCAAAATGGAAACAACACAAATATCCACTGACTTGTGGAAAGATAAACAAGTTGTAGCATATTCATATATCCATATACTGGAATATTACTAGGTAATAAAAGGAAACGAATTAGGGAACGAATTACTGATATAGTCAGTGACATTGATGATCTCAAAATTATACTCTGTGAAGGAAGGCAGACACAGAAGAATATACTATAACTTCATCATATAAAATTATAGAAAAGGGGGAAATAATCCATAGCAATAGAAAGCAGATCAGTGATTTCCTGGGGCCATGATTATGAGGGAATTTTTTTAAATTTAGGGTACTGTGAATTGTACTCAGGGGTGCTCT